GTGTCTCCACCCAAATCTCATCTTGAACTGTAGCTCCCATAATCCCCACGTGTCATGGGAGGGACCCAGGGGGAGGTGACTGAATCATGGGAGCAGGTTTTCCCGTGCTGTTCTCATGATAGTGAATAAGTATCACAAGATCTGATGGTTTTTTAAAGGGCAGTTCCCCTGTACACGCTCTTGCCTGCCGCCATGTAAGACGTGGCTTTGCTCCTCCTTCACCTTCTGCCATGATCGTGAGGCCTCCCCAGCCATGTGGAACTTTGAGTCCATTAAACCCAGTCTCAGGTATTTCTTCATAGCCGTATAAAAATGGACTAATACACGCTCAATAGGCATAGGGCAGGATCTGCCTGGTACAGTCTTAACACACAACACTTCAAGAGGATGAGAACACAGAAAACGCCAAGTTCAAACTGCAAGTTCAAGTTGTCCAAGTCACAACTGGTTAGGCCAGAGCCTCTTATTGTAAACCCTTCTTAACAATTAGATTCACTCCATATGTGGATTTGGAAGTAATTAACCTGCATTTCTTTAAAATATGTTAAAATTCACATTTTCAGGAGCACAGTAACTAGCTTAGAATAGTGAGATAACACTGAGATTCAAATCATATCTAGGTACCCACAATGGCTAAGTCCAATCATTTCTTGGTCATTATCCTGATAGTCTCCTCTTTGTCAATGTATAATATCACAAAAGAGCAAAGGTAAGCACTGAGCAATTCAGACTTGTGCCAAGTTGTCTAAAGGGAAAGAATTCTTGCATCTGACTTTGAATAGCACCATTTTTAACCAATATTACTATTTGCTATCAAATTGTTATTATAAAGTCTACCTACTCTGGAAATGACCTTGCCAACCAGGTGCTAAGTGTACCCTTTATCATCTGGTGGAAAGTGTGCAGCTTTGTCTTATACACTCCCAGAGGACAGGACGGACATGGCTGAGGCCTGAAGAAACTCATCCATCTCAGCAGAGATGCTGGTGGCCCAACGTGGTGACCACTGTCTCACACCCCTGCCCTGAGAACATGCTCTGCTGCTTGTACATGGTTCTAACTATGAAGTCCATGGGCTTCTCTAAAAAAAAAAAAAAAATTTTTTTTTTTTTTTTTTTTGGAGACAGAGTCTTTCTCTGTCACCCAAGCTGGAGTGCCGTGACATGATCTTGGCTCATGGCAACCTCTACCTCCTGGGTTCAAGAAATTCTCCTGCCTCAGCCTCCTGAAAAACTGGGATTACTGGTGCCTGCCACCACGCCCGGCTAATTTTTGTATTTTTAGTAGAGATGGGGTTTCACCACGTTGATCAGGCTGGTCTCAAACTCCTGATCTCAAGTGATCCGCCAGCCTCAGCCTCCCAAAGTTCTGAGATTATTGGCTTGAGCCATATGCCCAACCTTAAAAACTATTTTTTAAAGCTATTCATTAATTTATTGGATTAGATCACACACACACACACACACACACACACACACACACACACACACACAGAGTACAAAACAGGTATATAGTGAATAGGTATATAGTAAAACATTGTGTCCCTTCCATCCTGCCACTCAGTTACTCAGTCACCTTCACCAGAGGCCACCACCGTTATCGACGGTTATTTTAGTTTTGAAGAGAGTTAAGGAACTCAGACCTAAAATGGAATTAGGAAAGCTATTTAACCTCATAGACAGCGACAGAGCCTGGAGCCAGACAGACTGTATTCAAAGCAAGGCTTTGCCTTCCTGATGTAGAGTCGGGCTGACAGGATTTATCTCATAGGGCTGTTGAGATAATGAAATGAGCCAACTCCTGCAAAGTGCTTAGCCCAGGCCGTGTAATTTCTACCTTCAATACTTCTGAACTGTAATTAGCTACTGGGCAGTGGCACTGATAAAGGAAGGTGGGAGGGAAGGGTGGGTCATATTTAATCCTTCTGGGGAAAGCCCTAAGCCCTCATGACACCAAGGATGGAAATCCCTGGGAGTTTGTTAGACATGCATGGTCTCAGGCCCCTCCCCAGACTCGCTGAATCTTGACAAGCTCCCCAGAAGACCAGTACTGTCCTGTATGAACCTAGAGTGCCTGAGGACTGGGCTGTGGCATCCCTGCCCCTGGGGAGATCCCTGCTCACTGTAGACATGAGCCCTTAGACATTGCATGGTGAATGCTCATGACAAACGCTACCTGCCCCCATCCCCTGGCTTCCTATTCCACATCGGGTCTCCTAAGCCCAATGACCTGTGACCTCACAGATGAATGGAATGTGTCCTCTTTCGTCCTGTAGCTCCACAGTAACCTGAGAGATGGCCTGGAGGCAGGATGGCATGTTGTTTTTAAAGTAATACAAGAGACGTAGTGGAGACTGTCCAATGAGTGGCACGGCTGCCAGGATGCCAACTGGGACACTAAAGCCTTGGCAGTGGGGGCTGCCCAGCAGGGCTGGCCACTGGAAATAAGGTCCAGAGGGCCGAGAGGCTGGAGGGGCTCATGGGTGACCAGGGCTGCTGTTTGCCACTTGCTCTAAACCAGTAGACCGCAGCTGAGAACACTGCCATACAGGAAGCCACCATTCCTCTAGAACAGAATGACACACAATGGTGGGGGAGGCATGTCATTAGACACTGTCCAAACCCACAGAATGTGCACCACCGAGAGGGAATCCTCATGTCAATCATGGGCTTTGGGTGATGGTGATGTGTGAATGTAGGTTCATCAACTGTAACAAATACACTCTCTGATGTGGTGTAGGCAGTAGGGGAGGCTGTGCGTTTGTGGGGGAAGGACATAGAAGGGAAATCTCCGTACTTCTTTCTCAAGTTCGTGAACCTACAAGTGCTCTAAAAAATAACCTATTAAAGAGAAAAAGAATTATGTATATATAAGAATTACATATATCTGAACTATATGTAGTGTGTCTATAGATACACATATATACATACTATGTACATACTACATATATGTGTGTATACACACACACACACACACATATGTATATATCTCCAGTTTGTCATTGGATTAGCTGTAAAAGAGGAAAGAAAACCAACACTGAGGCCCAGGGCAACAGTTTTTTAAAAATTACAATAGAGTTGGATACATAGAGTCCCAGCTACTGGGGAGGCTGAGATGGGAGGATTCCTTGAGCCCAGAAGCTTCCAGGCTGCAGTGAGCTACAATCACACCACTGCAGCCTGGGTGACAAAATGAGATCTCGTCTCTAAAAAAAATAAAAATCACAATGACAACAGAAATCACTTAGAGCTGGACTGTCCAACCTGGGAGCCTCGAGCCACATGTGATTAGTGAGCCTTAAAATATGCCTAGTTTGAAGGAGGAACTGAATTTTTAATTTTAATTAATGTACATGTAAATTTAAAACTGATAGATCCAATTATCATATGTTAGGAAAAAAATCATACATGTTAAGAAAAAATTTTAATAGGTTTGGAACAATCTGGACATGTGAATCTACCCTTCCAACTTAAGGTTGTGAGCTCTAAATACAGACCAATTATTTCCAAAGAATAATTCGCATCCAAATTGAGACATGCTTTGAGTGGAAAATATACACCAGAGTTTAAAGACTTAATACCAAAAAAAATGTAAAATATCTCACAATTTTGATATTGTTTACATGTTGAAAGGATATTTGGTTACACTGAGTTAGTAAAATATGTTATTAAAGTTTACTGCAGCTGTATCTTTTACTTTTTTAAAATCTGGCTTCCAAAAAAAGTAAAAGACATAAGTGTCTTACCCTCATATACTGCTGGTGAGAATGTAAATTGGCATGGCTGCTTTGAAAACCAGTATGGCGAGTCCTCAAAAGGTTGCAGATAGAATTACCCAGCACTTCCACTCCTGTGTATTTACCCAAGATAATTGAAAACATATGCCCGCAAAAAAAATCTCATACATGAATGTTCGTAGCAGCATTACTCATAATGGCCACACAGTGAAAACCACCCGATGTCCATCAACTGATACATGACTAAAACCAAAGCTGGTATACCCATACAGTGGAATATTATTCAGCCTGATAAAGGAGTGAAGTATTGATAGATGCTCCCACATGGATGACCCTTGGAAACATTACACTAAGTGAAAGAAGCCAGACACACAAAAGTCACCTACTGTATGATTACATTTATACAAAATGTCCAGAATCGGCAAATCTACTCAAGACAAAGTATATTAGGACTTGCCACTGACTGGGGGAGGGTGGGGAGAGGAATGACTGTTAATACGTATGGGTTTCTTGCGGGTATAATGAAAGTGTTCTGGTGATGGTTGCATAACTCATGATTGTACTTACAAAAAATTACATATTTGGCTTGCATTAAATTTCTATTGGACAGCACTAATTTTAATAAGATAACTGTTTTCTTTCCTAACTGTCACTAGTGACAGTATAGAATTTACCAAAGTTAATGTGGGGAGATTTTTGCCCCTATCCACGCCCCATGGGACATGTGGCAGTATCTGGAGACATTTTTGATGGCCACAACTGGGGTGGGGGTGAGAGGAAGAGATTGCTGCTAGCCAGGGATGCTGCTAAACATCCTGCAATGCATGGGCAGCTGCCCAGAACAAAGAATTACCTGGCCCACAATATCAGTAGTGTGGAGGCTGAGAAACCCTGCACTAAAGGCTGCTCAGAGGATCCCTGCCCCAACTACTACCTCCTTTGCTCCATCTTTGCTCCTTTGACTTTCCAGGGGTCTGATTCAGGGCATGACCTTCTCAGAAGACTCTCCTGGAGTCCACCCCATCACAGGCATCCTGAGGCCAGGAGCTCACCCAGACACCAGTGATTCTGTGGACTTGGCAATGTTCTAAGCAGAGTCCTGAAAGGGCCCAGGGGTTCTATAGTCAACTGGCTGTGGAGTCTCTGACTTGGGCCTTACCCTCTGAGGCTTCCTGAGTCCCTAAGTGTGATGCTTACTCTCAATGAAGCTGGCTTCGTGTCAGGTAGATTGCCATTTTTCATGTTATTTTCTCTTCCACATCAGATTTTCTATGCCAAGAACAACTGGAATTTGTAAAGTCTGCATGAGGAATGGGCTTCTTCTTTGATGCCTGAAGTAAAAACTCAAGGAAGGATATCCAGACTCACCTTCAGGTACGTTATTTTCAAATTACCTACTCTGTCTCTGCTTCTGACGGCTGCTGTAACAAATCACCATGAATTTAGTGGCTCCGAACAACATAGATTTATCACTTTACGGTTTGGGGGGTCAGAAGTCCAACATGAATGTTGCTGGGCTAAAATTAAGGTGTCAGCGAGGCCATGTCTTTCTGGAGGCTCTAGGGGAGTGATGTGGTTGGCCTGTGTCCCCACCCAAATCTCATCTTGAACGTGGTTTGCCTTTATCCCCATGCAAATCTCATCCTGAATTGTAATGCCCACAATTCTCACATGTCATGGGAGGGACCCAGTGAGGAGGTGATTGAATTATGGGGGCGGGTTTTTCCTGGGCTGTTCTCATGATAATAAGTGAGACTGACAACATCTGATGGTTTTAAAAATGGGAGTTTCCTGGCAGAAGCTCTCTCTTTGTCTGCCGTCTTCCAGGTAAGACATGACTTGCTCCTCGTTTCCTTCCGCCATGATTGTGAGGCCTGCTCAACCATGTGGAGCTGTATGTCCATTAAACCTCATTTTCCTCTGAGTCTTGGGTATGTCTTTATCAGCAGCATGAAAACTGACTAATACAAAAAGAGAATCCCTTCTGTCCAGCTTCTGGAGATGTCCACATCCCTTGGCACGTGGCCCTTTCACTACCTCCAAAGCCAGCACAGTAACATCTTCAAATCTTTCTCTGACCAATGCTCTTGTCTACCTCTTCCACTTATAAGGACCCTTGGGACCAAGTAGGACCACCTGGGTAATCCAAGCTAATCTCCCCACGTCAGGGTTGATAACCTTAATCACATCTGCAAAGTCCCTTTTGCCATATTCACAGGTTCTGAGAATCAGAATGTAGATGCCTTTGGAGGGGATTTTTCTGCATACCATGCTGTTAAGTGGGCATGGACAGTCTACTGCAGGGGCTGGGGTCCCTTAGGCACTCTCTGTTGCCTTCATTCCATAGGAAAAAGAAATTGGGTATTATTCCTTTTCCAGAGTTGGAGAATTTACCCAATCTGAGTTCTCAGGTAGTTAGATGCTGACTTTTCAGATCCTAATTCCCAGCAGACCTATGCCCCAGAATGGCCAGTGAGAGATTTACTTTTCTTTATATCTTTGAATAGTTTCAAATGAATTACTGTGATTCAGATATTTTTGTATTATTTGGGGTTACAATGCTTCTGAAGTTGTCATACCTGCTGAGTTTAAATCACCTGTAACAGGTGAACCTATCAGATCACATGACAATGTTCAACTCCACATTTATTGAGATCTCCTGTCAGATACTGTGTGTGCCCAAGAAAGCTCAGCACTGACCCACAAGGAATTAAAAACCTAGCGGAGGAGACAAATAAGTATACTGCCAATCTAACCCCAGTGTGATGTATAGCAAAGGCTCTAAAGTCAGTAAAATAAAGAGGTATAGGACTGCTGGGGAGGGTGTGAGTCAGGGCTGGATGGTTATGCAAGGATGCTAAAATATTGAAAGGGTGATGAAATAAGCAACATTGGAACGCTGGACCCTCAGGAATGGGTCAGAATCCTTTAAGGTCAAACCTAAGAGGGGATGTTCTTAGAGTTCTGAAGGACAGGAGATTCAACCTTAATGGTAGCTGTTAGGAAATTTTCTTAATTGAAGATCCGCCCCCACCCCCCGCCCCCTGACCCCCCACAGAAAGCAGACCCTGAGACAAGAATGTGGATACAATGTTTATTCAGGAGATGATCCCAGAAAACATGGGGAGAAAGGGGAAATACAAGACAGAGAAGAAAAACCACCAGGAAATGGGACATGAATGAATGACTGTGTTGCTGCTGTGGACAACAGGGGCCTGATCATGGGGATCCTCTAAGGAATCATGTGATGAATGCCTTAGACTCACTCCACAGGAGGCTAGGGAGTCTGGGACATTCTCTACCAACTCCCATCCCATTGGTGGAGGACTTTCCTGACTTCCAGATGTACTTTCTGGTGTGGTCAAGCAACCTCCCAGCTCATGAAGTTCTCAGGCTCTGGGAGCTGTCAGGTGGTGGAAACTGCCTTCACCTGCAGTTGCAGGGAACCTAGGTGGACGGTGTAGCTATGGGGCAGGGCCTTATCAGCACCTGCCTTGGGAGCAATTGAATACATTCATCGATAATCTGGATGTTGAGGCCAATCCATGGGTTCTTTCACCTGAGCTGTTCTGACTCTACACTTAGCCAATATTCAGTGATCATCCTCACCTTCACCCACTTCAATCTGTGCTGTGTTGATCTGATTTTCTTATGAAACTTGAGTTCCACTTTTGTCACGTACAGATAGAGGTGCCCTGGGCGGGTTAATTAACCTCGTTCAGTCTTGTAGGCCAGCTCATGGTATTGTTACATGGACTACCAGAAATGCCAAGGGTCGGGCATTAACATAGTATTTGAAACACACAAATATTCAATAAATGGTTATAATTTTGTGGATGATAACACTTGTTTCTCCCTACCATCGGCGCAGACTTTTGAGCTGGTATAGAAGCTGAGATCATGATCTAAAAATGCAACTCCAAGATGGTTTCATTTTCAGTCTTTTAAACGACAGAACTGACTGATGTGATTTGTGACTTACTGCTTACTTTTGGTAAATAACAATTCCATTTCAGAAAAATGCCTTACTAAATTGTCAGTTGGTGTCATGCCATGAACACAATATCAACATCATCATTCGTAAGAACTTACAGTCTCCCAGTGAATAGAGTAACCTCTGGTATAAATTAGGTATGCATGGAAGCTATTTTAGACTACAGGGACGCCTTTAGTAGTTCACTACATTAGTGTACCAAACAGCTCCCAAATTACCTGGAGCTGTGGATGTAAATTCTGAGAGTGAATTTATGTCTTAGCTCAGGCTGCTATCACAAAAGGCCATATATTGTGTGGTTTAAATAAGAGACATTTATTTCTTCTAGTTCTGGAAGCTGGGAAGTCCAAGATCAAGGTGTTTCTGATTGAGTTCTTGGTGAGGGCTCTCTTCCTGACTTGCAGGTGGCTGCCTTCTCATTGTGTCCTCAGATGGCAGAAAGAAGAGAGGAAGCAAGCTGTCTGGTGTCTCTCCTTACAAGAGTTCTAATCCCATCATGGGGCCCCAGCCTCATGACCTCATCTAAACCTGATTACTTCCCACAGACTCCACCTGCTAACAGTATCACATTGGAGGTTATTATGAATTTTTAGGGGATAAAAACATTAGTCCATAGCATCGTATGAGTGATACTCCCCCTGTGGGAATTTGGCAGCTCATATGATACAGTCTTACTGTATATGGCTCTAGGAATACGGTAAGAGGAAATTTTATCCATATCTAGTGGCTTAATTTTTTATAATACTCACTCATTTTTAGAGCCCTTGGACTTTGAGGGACTCCTATCCAGCATCTAACTTTCAATATCTATTCATGATCACACTATTCCCTCAGTGATCAAAGAAAAATATTCTCTTGCTGTTTTTTTTTTTTTTTTTTCTGTAGGGATTTTAAAAAGCTATAGTATTGTGATATGCGTACTATTTTTCCAGTAAACCAGAGTAGAGCTTACGTTGTGAAACAGCTAGAAAGGAGGAATAGAGACATTTTGTTTATAAAACTGTGAAATGTCAGTTACCAGACATTGTTTATAAAACTATGAAATGTATTGTCAGGTAAGAGCGAAAGAAGTGACTTTAAGACGGACTCATTTAGGCTAGAATTGCCATGAGGTATAGGGGCATTAAACTGGGAAAAATGACCAATACTGTAGCTTTGGTTCTGCCAATAAACGGTGTGGCCACAGGCAAAGAGGCTAATCTTTCTCTCGTAAACCTGTAAGTTTCTCAAGGGAAGAGACAGCATATATAATTGCTTTGAAATTGTTTCCAAGCATTTTAAAAATATCCTTAAATATTTTGAAGGCATGATTTTTAATGTCTTAATAGTCAAAAGAATTTTGTACCATAATATATTTTATTATTCCTCCATTGTTAGATTGTTCTGTTTCATTATTGTGAACCATGTTACAATAAAAACCCTTGTCCCAATGGTTCTATTTATACTTCTGATAATATTCTTAAGCTAATTACAGGGCCAAAATTTACATGTTAAAGGATTAGTAAATATCACAAATTTGGCAACCAGAAGGGTTGTACTAATTTACACTCTTGTCAGCAGTGTAACAGAAAAATCTGTTTCCACGCAGTCTTATTAGCATGAGGTATTATCACTTTAAGAACAATCTCTGAAAATTGAGAAAGGGAGGAAAGGAGAAATGGCATTGATAAGTTTATGATGAATTTTATGAATTGCATATTCGATGTCTTTGTTCATTTTTATAAGCTATTCATCTTTTCTTACATCACTTTCTTTGTACATCACAAGTGCTTTTCGGAGTATTTTTTTTTAATATCAGTTTTTGGTGGGGGGTATTGTGCAACATTCTTACATCATCAGATATATCTTTTTTTTTTCTTTTATACTTGATAGACTTCCTCACCTTGAGAGCCACAGTCTCCTCCACTTTATTTGACATTTATTTTGGTAGCTGTTGTAAAATTAGGCATTCACAGGACCTCAGTGCCTTGGAAATTTACAGATCTTCATGTTTAACCCCTTCAGTTTATACTGAGGAAAGAGGCCCAAAGAGAGGAAAAGAAATTACCCAGGGATAAATACAGTTAGTTAATACCAGAACCAGGACTAAAATCAAGGATTTCTAGCTCCTAGTTTATATCTTCCTTCAAAAAAAAATAGTTTTCAATAATATCAGAAAAAATAATTTTCTTAAAAATTTAAAACATTACTAATCACCTCTCCAGATGTTAGGTTTCTTGTTTCCTTCTCCAGAGTTAATCTCATTATTTTGAATGTATTCTTCCAGACTTAAAAAATAATTTTATGTGTTTATATATGTATACACAAATAACATATACTACTGTGGAATAGTTGGGTGGCATAAATCGTGTATATTGCATGTATTCTTCTTCAATGTACCATTCTAATTCTATTGTTTTGAGGTGTCCATCATTTTAGCAGGCCACATTTTATTTAGCCAGTTACCCATGAACATTTCCTTAGAAATGTTTCCTTAGAAACAATTCTACGACACTCATGATGTCAATGCTTCCTTGGGCCCTCATGCAAGCCTCTCTCAAGAGTCAGTATTGAGAAGTGAAACTGCTGCATCACGGCTAATGACCTTTTCAGTTCTAACAGATTTTGCCAAATTACTCTTTTACTGGCAATG